TAGGAGGGACTCGTCTATGGCTACACGGCCTTCGTGCCCGCGGCGTTGTGGGCGGTGCTGAAGTGGTTCGGGGCCCAGGGCGTGGAGCTGGTCGAGTGTTGGGCGCTGTATGGATACGCGAATCTGGTTTGGGTCCTGGTTGCGATTCTGAGCTGGAGTCCATTGACGGCGCTGAATTATGTGCTGGTGGGAGTGGGGTATGGGCTGAGTGTCTTCTTTTTGGTCAAGAATCTGTATCCGGTGATTAGCGCTACGGAGAAGAAGACGAGTCAGGCCTTGTTGATTGTGGTGGTGGTGCTGCATGCGGCGCTGGCGATTGCGATTAAGATCTTGTTCTTTGCGCACGGGAGCCCGGCGAGGGAGAAAGGGGATGGCGGGGATGGGAAGGAAGGTGGGGAGACATTGAGATTGCTGTTTTGAAGGCTCGATTATCGGATTACATATTCACATGGTTGAAGTCGTGGCCTGTACTTCTCCTCATCCATCAAAGATACCCAGTTTTTTGAACATCATTGATTTGAATGGCTCTAATCGTCGACGGGTCTGCTTGTGGTGTAGCTACTATCACTGATTGTGACCTCACTCAACTCGGATCTCCTCCGCTACCTTCCTAATACCACTCCTCCATTCCCCAATAGCGTCCACCCTCTGCTCCCCAGCAAGCACCAACCACACCCTCAAACCACTACTTAATCTTCTTCTTCGGCCGCAGCTGGTTCGAATGCCCGCACTTCTTCTTCCTGCAATTCGTAGCCCGAGGCGGCAGACGAGCATAGCATTTCCGACAGATCATCTTATCGCAGTTGTACTTGCTAGCAAGGGCTTTGAGTGATGGTTCGATGATACCGCCACGGAGACGGAGGACGAGGTGGAGGGTTGATTCCTGCACAAGAGAAACCAGTCAGTGTCACAAACCTATCAAAAGATATGCGTCTTGGGGCTTGGAAAGCGAGGGCGGCAGAACAGAGCATGAGGCACCCACTTTCTGGATATTGTAGTCTGACAGGGTGCGGCCATCTTCGAGTTGTTTGCCGGCGAAGATCAGGCGTTGCTGGTCCGGTGGAATGCCCTCTTTGTCTTGGATCTTGCTCTTGACGTTGTCGATCGTGTCGGAGGATTCGACCTCGAGGGTGATGGTCTTGCCCGTGAGGGTCTTGACGAAGCTGTGAACATGTTAGGTTGTTGCACTTGTTACATAGGCCGTGCTTTAAGGCTGGGTCATCGCGAAACTCACATCTGCACTGTAACACGGGAGACTGGTTAGTAACGGCTACCGGAATGTGGTTGATACGTGATGTAACTTACTATTGGCGGTGTTCGATTATCGATATCAGTTGAGTCAAACGTCGTGGAGTTATATGGTGCTGGATGATATTGGCGGCGAGGCAGAAGGACGATTAGGGCTCAGAGGTCATGTGACAGTTCGGTGAGATGGCCGAAATCTTGGCACCTTTGGTGCTGCTCTCAGCATGCCGTACTATTTAGAGCGGGCTTACATGCTACTTATCTTGCTTATACCACTAAGGTAGAAGAAATAGACATATCCTGCAGCCAATGCTTCTTATCTATTTTGCTCATTGTCTAGTCATCAAGAACAACTAGAAGCTTCACCGTCCAAACCCGAACCAGCCCTTCTTAGCAGGTTCTTTCTTCACCTCTGCTGCTGTTTCCGGAGCCGCTGGCGCACCATTTACGCCTGACATGGCACGGCCGGGATAATCTATGTAGTTCCAAGCAAGGTCGAAAAACAAGGGTTTGACGGGAATTGGTTGGATTTTCGGTGGGAAGTTTACCAACTTCATCAAGTCAATATCCTCAGCTGGATACTCTCCGAGTCTTTCGACTAGTGGGGGCACGTATATGTCTTTCGCTGAAGCTTTCTGCTGTTCCATAAGGTCCTTAAGTTCTACCAAAGCTCGATACTGCGACACAGTACCGTCGATCAAACCATGAAATCTCTGGAGATCTTTTGAAGTAACGTCGAGCTTTGACAGGCCGTGGCTTGCTTCTGTTTCTTCGATCGAGTGGGTAGAGAGAACGCTACTTGTTAGCTCCAGTGATCGAGCGTATAATGCAAGTGCATTTCTGAACTCCCCCAAGATAGCATAACGACGACCAATTGTGAGGCATCTGCCAAAGTCAGCACGAGTCCTAGAAACGGAAATGGCCCTTCGTACTTCAAGGCTCGGAAATAGGCCCTTTTAGTTGAAAGCTCTTCCATAAAGCTCAGATCTCCGGCAACGCCTAACAAGTCCCCTACAGCATCGATACTTTGCAGGATGGAGTCGTACAGAGCCACTCTTTCGCGCAATTTTGCAACTTGCACGCTGGTACTCTCTTCACGCAGGACACGGTTCGTGCCATCCTTTCTGGGTTTACGAGACCGCTTGGAAAAAGTACGTTCGAAAGTGGCACCATCATACTGGCCACAGAGTTGCCGATTTCGTCCAACCATCAATTCAATAACAGCATAGTTGACTGCAGTTCGTGTGACCTGGAGCGACTGCACTCTTGTATCGCTCGTATCCATTCCCTCAGACATCAACTCTTCGATTGCGGTCTTCGTCGCGTCCACGGCTTCTTGTCGAGCGTTGATCACGTCGTCATAAGCTGCTGTGAGTTCTCTAACGTCACTCTGACCCTTTGCATGAAGCTTGGCAAGTTCCCTTTCCTTCCTATCGGCTGATTCGATTGCTTGTGCTATGGTAGCATCCTCAATCTTAACTGTTCGCCCCCTCCAGGTAATGGTTGACGGAGTATCATACGAGGCATTCTGACCCTTTGCTTCAGCTGCTTCGCTGGTTAGGAGCGCGTCAGGATTCAAGCTCTTGATCTGCCCCAGCAGCTCGCTTTTGCTCTGCGGAAATCCTTCGATCGCAATATCAGAAACGGCCTTAGTCCTCGAATACCTCAACTGATATGCAGCGTATCGTATGCTTGGATCTACAGTGTTTGAGAGTAGATCCTTGAAAAGATCCAACCGTGAAGCAGAGCCCAGCGTCGCATAGATCACCCGAGCCACGGAGTATTCTCTAATACATGGTTCCCATCGAGCCTTCTCGAAGTGTAGGGCCCCTCGCATCAAAGCGAGGTAGGCTGCTGCTTCCAGATTGTCTGTATCATTCACACAGGACAGTACTTTGTCTTGTAGGCATTTCTGTAAATGCTCCGCGTATTGTATTGCCTTGCTAAGCCTTGAATAGATCTGTCTCTTCGTGGATCCCGGCATTCTCCTCTGAGTATTTTCTGTGGACTGGGCCTTCTTCATGGCCATAGCAGCAGCCCAAGCCCTTTCAGCACTCATTAAAAGGAGATTAACGAATCTGTCATGTCTCAGCAAGCTCATATCTCCTCACACTTTCACGTACTCATGGTCACGTTGTATATCATCGGCGGTGACTGGCGCCTTTGGGATGTATTTGCGCCCTTTCGGGGTGGTCTGTCCCATTCGTTTTCTGAGCGAGTGGATTCGGCGTGTCGCTTGCGCACGGTAGACACTATAATCTCCAACAAGCAGAGCTGACTCTCGCTCGGACGTCACGTAACTGGTGATGTTCATTTCATCCGGTGAATTGTCTTTCGCAAAGTTCCAGCGATAACGAAATGCTCCTTGAACGAGTGGGTGCAGGCTGCCGGAAACTTGAAGCTCAAGCAAATGCCAAGGACTTCGTAGCAGACCGAGCGCAAATAATTTAGTTACATATGTATGTACTTGTCCAACGATGATCCTGTCAAAGTCCCCTTCCGTAGACCCGCGACACCAGATCTTGGAATAGGCTCTTGATCTAGGGGATTATATTCTATCATGCCATTGCTTGCAATTATGTTCAACGTCAGAAGCACTGGGAGCTCCGTCCTTTAGCTTCCCTGCAATACAACTCATTTTGTTCGACTTCCACTAGGAGTTTCGGCGAATCTCAGTTCTATCTATCCAAAGATCGTTGAGGTATATTAGCTCTGCCTGCCTGTCTGCCAGGGCATGCTAGAGCAGGCAACGACATGTGCCGAACCAGCAGTCAACCTCCTTCTCAGACGAATCGAGAAACCGATACGCAGCAAGCGCGTCCTGCCTCTATCGTTCTGGCGATATGGAGCAGAGAATACGCCAACACCAGTTTGGTGGCCTGCCTACCTACAAGATATCCGTACCATCTCTCTTGCTCAGTCACGAGCTCGGACAACGCCTTCAGATGCGTCTGAGTTAATCAACAGTGGCATCAACACCTCTCTATACAGGACGGCGCTCGCCGCGGACCAAAGACAAAGATATGATTCTCACGGTCGAACTTTCGATAGCTCATATCGACAACGAATCTATAAGCGAACTTTCAGCATTTCTTACCAAGATCAAAGTCAGACCAGCAGGGCATCTGGTAAGATCGAGGAAGCGAAGGATGATTATTCCCAGCAGAGCACACTAGAGTTATATAACTCTCCTGTCGCAGGTACGAATCGTCATGACAATGAGTCCACAGACGAAGACGTACCATACTCGGGTGGCCCTGTTAACGTGCCTCTACTTGATGAACAACTGCCACCGCTAGAATCTTTATGTGCGCTGATGGGCTCCGATGAAAAGGAGGCGTATGACAAGGCCTGGCAGCTCTTCATACGTGCGGGTGGCGAAGCTGGTCTTGCAGGGGAAGTCCTGGAATATTTGTCGACTTCGGATCATCGCATTGATCTGGATCATGCCCTTGCTGCCTACAATCTCATTCCCGCGCTCGAGAGGGTGCTAGCACATTATCAAGCCGCCGTGAAGGCAGCCTGTTGCAGGAAAAAGCATAGGCTGGCTATGGAAATACACAATGAAGCAATCAAGAGAGGCTTCCACACAGAAGTTACGAGTACCTTTCTAGCGTTCTTGACGCGTAATGGCCTGTGGGAGATCGCAGCACAGGTTTGGAAGAGGCTGCCGGAGTCCCAAAGAGACGCAGCAAAACCTGGCAATCGTGGTCTTTGGCAGGAGTTAGATCAAGATACCTCGCTTCCCGAGAAGCTGCAGCAGCTCATGGACACGCTCGAGCAGAATGCTGCAATATTTCCATCAGGCAGGAATGCAGTTCTTGGTCTTAGTGTTCAAGTATTGTACAGAATTTTCTCGAGTTCAAAAATCATGGTCAGCATCACTGGCTCAGGAATTCTTGCTTTATTAGATCGATTCTTTCATCTTGGCCTCTTACAGCCTCAGCATTACTTCTCTGGAATTCAGACTCTTAACAAGATGGTGGGCTTCAGAAACCGGCATCAGCTTGCTACGCTGCTTTACAGAAACTTGGATTACAGGTTTCCCAATGTACGATTCCCACGAACACTTCTTGGTTCACTAATTGCCATACTTTGCGGGTCAGAGGGCGATCATGTGGCAAGCCGCTTGATCCTGCGACGGTTCGCCACTGACTGGGGCCAACCGGACAGATTGGCATACCAGAAAGTGCTCAGCGCGTGCGCTCGCAATGGCGACTCGGTCAACGTATCTGAAGTATTTGCCGAGTTCTGTAGTGATTATGGCACACCGAAAGATATGGCATTCATTACACCACTCCTATACGTATTTGCTCGCAATGGAAACGTCCACGAAACCAAGAAACAATTTGATCGGCTTCACTCACACTTCGCAGTAGAGCCAGATGTATACTGCTGGAACATACTCTTAACAGCCTACGCTAGAGCGCGAGACCATGATGGTGCTCTCCAACAATATCAAAACATGAAGCGGACAGGCTTGAAGCCTGACCAATATACATATGGAATATTGATGAGTATGTTTGCGAGGTCGGGTGATATCGAGGCACTTCACCAATTGGTCGAGGCCGCGAAGCAGCAATCAATCAGCGGGACAAGTGCTATGGTCGACAGCCTTGTACATGCGTATTGTCTTAATGACCAAGTTGAGGATGCAGAGGCCCTGATCGAAGCTGCTACACAGCAGAGATTGAAAAGTGCTCCGACTCGAATGTGGAACACATTGTTGCGATATTATGCCTTCCGAGCTGATACTGATGCTGTTCTCCGAACACAAGAACGAATGACAGAGCTCTCAATAGCACCTGACGGTATGACATATGCCGCGCTTATGCAAGCGCTGGTCAACACCGGCAGAACCCAAGATGCTGCAGCCATCCTTCGATCCCTTCACTTCAGTAACTCTGTAACAGCTACCGTTTTCCATTATTCGATGGTGCTTTACGGCTACGCTTTGGAAAACAATCGTGACATGGTGGCCGTGATTTACAGTGAGATGTTGGAGCGGTTCCCTCGAATTGGTCTTAGCGCAAGACTTTCTCGCCTACGTTCCTCTGCTCACAGGGATGCGACCCTGACTCAAACCCGGTTAAACCAGGCCCTTCGAGGAAAGCCGATGAGCAAGGGTTTGCGTCTGTCAAGGACATTGGACTTTCTGGCCCAGATCTGGCTTGAGATCAACCAAAGCGACCTCATGACTGAAGACCCTCAACCAGGTCTTAGGCGACAGATCCCAGCGGAGGCATTCCCTTCTGTATATATGGAGTTCGTGATTGGAGCGTTTGCACGTAGCGGTGCGCTTGAGAAGGCCGACAACCTTATTCGTGAATACCAGGCTTTTGTGGACGAATCGGATGGCAGTAAGACGAGCAGCGCCCAGTCCTTTCAGCTACTTACAGCTATCATGAGTACCCTGGTACAGCAGAAACGCTTTGCAGCAGTTGACAGCTATTGGAACAAAGCATTGTCAATGGCCAAGAGCATGGGACGTCAACGGACGCTCGACCTCTCGGACCCAGTTCTCCAGACAGACATGTCAACACCGGCTCCCACTCGACCTAGTGTTGGCGACATCAGCTTCGACGTCTCTACTCCAATCTCCGGGAGCCAGATTACGCAACCCTTCCTTGATAGAGGCGAGATCAGAATCGTCGCTGCTCATAGGTACAGTTTGGCTGGTCCGCTCACGCAGTACATGCATTCTCTTGGTGCTCAGCATCTGGTGGCCGATCTCCCTCCACTTGTTAGGAGACTGGAAGAAATGGGTTTCTCTCTTAGCAGCAAGAACTGGAATCACTACGTCCAGGTTCTGTCATATTCAAATGATCCTAATCTACAAATTCTCGCTTTCCGGGTTTTTGAGGAGAAGCTACTGCCCAACATGCCTTCGTGGCAATTGATGAAACGCAGCAAGTGGTCGAAACAGAAGATCGTTGACGGCTCTGGTGACCTTGTCATTGAGGAGCCGGTGCAGCGCAAACTTATTGAGAGATTTCGTCCCTATACTCTTGTCCCGACGTACTGGACGATAGTCTATTTAGGGCTAGCTCTCATGAAATCCCAACATAGGGGCCTGCAAGGTCAAGCGTTAGGGTTAGACGTTCTTCGAAGCCAAGCTCCAGGCACCGTCAGTGCAGTATCACGGATGCCATACCTCCGAGAAAAGGCTCAAGGGCTTCTTCTTCGTGGTAGGACCTTGCAAGGTGATCCCCAGAAACGACCGCGAAAACAACCCAAAGTCGATCGTGCTGGTCTGCGTGGAAGCCGCTCTCCCTTAGATCATCTTCCGTGGGACTTCCCTCTTGACGAACTCGACCAAATGTTGAAGCGTGACAAGATCCAATCTACAGAGCAGCCAGAAGAGGAGCAGAGAAGTCCACCTCCCTCGGTTGAACAAATCTCGGGCGAGATTCAGCGTAGTCCACTAATGCTGGAGGCAGCAGGAAGGTATGAGCGTGAGCTAGAGTTTTCACGGAGGGTCAGGGCTAGTCAGCAGGACCAACTACGCATGTTGGCACAGATGCGTGAGGATGCAGCACGGCCTCAACTAATGATGGACGAGAAGCGTGGGGAACCTTCCTTTACAGCGAGTCTTCTAAGCCAACACAAGAAGGAAAAGCAGTTACTTCAGCTCGCGGAGCGAAAACGAGCAGTTCCTTGCTCACCAGATTCAAATAACGCATCAGACATCCGCCCCGCTGCTCTTCTCTCTGCTGCACGCCGACCGAAGGCTGCGGCACGTCTTCAATTGCTGCGTCGTCGGAGATGGGGAAGTCCAGTTGTACCTAAGTCAATTGCAGCATTCCAACGCGGTATCCGCAGGAAAGTCAAGATCGCTATGACCGCTTATCAATCACGCCTCAGGGTTCCGAATAGGCTCCGAAGAGCTTTCACAAAGAACAGAACTGCTCGCAGAATAAGAAGTGAGGCAAGGCGGTCAAAACGATCTGACAGGATAAGACAAGCCATGAGCGAAGACGAGGAAGAAACCGGCGATAATATGGAAGAACCCGATGGCAAGGCTTCCGAGGACATCGAAAGTGAATCTTCCGCCCGTCCAGAATCATGATATTGCAGTATGAAACATAATTCACGTCCATACCTTTGTGCACTTCAAGTGAACCCATTGAATCGATTGGCCCTGTTAAAATGTGAAGTACAACCATGATATCATCCCGTTTCTAGATAGTCGTGCTGATGCTTCCTACGTCTAAGCTACTAGCTTCCATCTACCAACTCTGTTAGCCTTGTACTCTCACTGCGATGCCTGCTTCTCGTCAGGGGAAGCGTTGTTGGCACCGTGTTTACCGTCCCTTCTACTCAACAAGAGACCATTCCCTAGCCTTTTCAGAAATCCGCATCAATGGCCTCGATCAGAGCTTGTTCGACCTCGCAACGACTTTACCCATGAGCTGTTTTCCCAATGACAACGTCCATCCAAGTGCACGCTATGGGGAGCCGGGGAGCAAGCGCTATCGGCTTCGGAAGAACGCCCACTACGGTACAACGTGCTGCCATGACATGGTATCGCTTGCTTCACATATCCACGATCCATATGCTGGCAGCTATTGGGTGAATAATGAGGACTTGTTCAATGTACCACCGCCATTGTCTACTTCTACCATATCTTCGGATTGGTCTTCGAGTGAGCCTGCTACAGTGTATGGACCGGCTGGGAGGTTTGACCCCATGCCACGATATGGTGATAACTCTTACTTTTCCGTCCCTGCTCACTCCGGAAGCACATCTTGCAACACTGGCGTTTTTGCCGATAGTCTTGACATCATGGCTCAAAACCAAGACGACTTTGCTTGGAACGACTTGGTATCAATTGGGTTTTGCTCCGCGACGTATCGAGAAGATATTCAATTCATCGAAACCCACACGCCGTCGAACCCTGTTAGTCCAGGGCTTCCCAGTGGTCTTTCTGCCAGAATTCCTCATGAGGCAGCTGCACATCAACCCACTTCTTACAAGGCAGCCGCCGTATCAGCTACATCAATTCTGCTGCCACAGCATTCTGTATTTCCGCTGTCAGTAGACCAGCTGACCCCTGAGTGCTCTCCCAACCACATCGAGAATCAGGTCGATAACTTCCTAGATGACCTAGCTGATGCCATCAATTGGAACAATAAGGAGCCTAACCTCGAGTATTCCAAAACCAACGACATGCATACCGCCAACTCTGTGCACCCGAGTGATGAGATGGCAGAACAACTGCCTGCAGCCCAGCAGAACCAACCCGAAGAGCCTGATCAGCCAGTCGTCCCACCATCGCCAGATACATGGAGCCACGGACTCCTAGCAAGCACTGACCAGTTTCCTTCCATTTGGGATGATTCACCATTGTACGAGCCCAACCGCCTTCACCGTAGCCCGAGCAGTCTCGACCTTGAGTCGTTCCCGTGCTGAAGATGGTCGCTACAGATATTAGCTTGAAATTGGGCCGGGAATCAGGACTTTCGTTCAAGAAGATGAGGAAGGCATATTCTTCACTGTTTCTTCTGATCATCCTAGCGTGCATGATCAAGTACGCACGGCGTCTACCCTGCGTCGTCGTCCTCAAGGCGGATGGCCCGTTTAACGGCTTGCTCGGCCCGTCTACTCCGATGCAGCCCAGGTGAAGGGAAGGAGAACATGGGCGTTGGGGTGCGTTCTTTTTTTCCAGAAAAATCAATCAAGTTACGGGGGATAGATTAGTACAATACAATACAATACAGTACAGTACAGTACAGTACAGTACAGTAGCCATATCACATAGATAAAACTGTTTCATCTGCACAATTCTCAACTTCGAGACCGTGAGGCTCGAGGCTCTAAACGGCGTAACGTCAGTCATCACAAGTCTAGCTCTCTTCCTCCACAAAAACACAACATCCTCCCGTCTAAAACGCTCATGTAACCAACTATCTCCCTAAGATCCCGCTGCATCTGCTGGAGTTCGGAGTAAGATCGATGCGTGGATGACCACACACACCAGATTGGGTGATACTTAACCCGATGGATCTGATGACCAATCCACCAGGGGCCCGGCATCTTACATCTAGTTAGTAGTTACCAACTGATTCTTCTTGTCCGCCTGCCACTGTAACAATCAGCGGATTTTGATGGAATTCTCCTTCAAGCTGCTCTTGCTCTGCGTCTATAATCTCGAATTCCGGATTGAACGAGTCTCCCGCTGCTGCAAGGGGATGGGCATGCTTGGTCGATACCTTGGTTGGCTTGAAGATTATTCCTGAGTTGAAGGAAGGGTTGGGGGAGGAGCGGAGGGGGGATTCTGTCTGGTTGGGAAGTGGGCGCATCATCAAGCTGGATAGATAGATATATATATTTTGAGGAGGAGGGGGGGTCGAGAAGGAGAAGTGATGGGAGAAGAGAGAGAGAGGAAACAGCGGCTCAGTCGCTGAACCACGCGCTGCTGAAGTGGACGCTGCGATGGGAGGAACAGGAGAGAATGAGTTGAAAAGGGAGGGAGGTCAGGTCCATCTTCTCGTCCAGGGTTTAGATGGATCATGGAAGGCAGAGTTGCAAAAGGGAGATAGCGAGATTGGATAAGATGAAGGGGGAGGAGAAAAGGAAGGATGATAAGCTTCTTGGGTCTATCTGAACGCTATGCATGCTAGGTCGGTCTTCTCTAAAACCGCTTCAACATTGCGTTTTCAGATGATACATCAACTCCCTCAACCCACAAATGGCCATGTCAAAAGCACACACCGTCGTTTTGGTCAGGCACGGATTGTGCGCCAACGCCACCGTTTCTGCTCCACGGCTTGCTTCTTGCAGAGTCCTAGATAACGTCAGAAAATTGGCGTTGGCGTCATACAGTTGCTCTTCGCTGCTGCTGCTGCTCCGGAGAAGGCGAAGCAATAAATGATGAGTCTCGATAAGTCGGGCAAGGCGGTATCGAAATGGGTGAACGTGCAAGGAGTTCTCCTAAGCGAGCAAAACTGGCTTTGTAGGCTAATTGTGCTTTTTCGGAAACTGGAGAGTTGGGTTTGCGGTGTTCGTTGCCAAGATAGTGGGTGCCATAGAGGAGATCCGTGAGCATTGTCAGGAATTTGGTGCTTTTATCGTCGATTTGCTGGAGATAGGATCGGGTTGGGTCGTCCTGTTGTTGTTGTGAATCTGGGCCAAGGTCGGGTAGGACGTTCAGGGATTTCTGATGTGCTGTTACCGGAAGGAACTGCGGCTGTTGAGGTAGGGATTGCTGGGGTACAGGTTGAAAGAGTGGATTTGGCTTGTGCAGAGGCTCTGAAGGTGAAAAGTGCTGGGGTGGAGGTGCAGGTAGAGGTGGAGGGGGTGGGAGCGGTTGCGGCGGAGCCTGGTGGGGAGCAGGCTGCCGAGGTGGAGGTGGCAGACGTGGATCTTGCGGATCTTGTGTGTGCTGAGGTGGTGCTCGCTGGAATTGAACTTGTTGAAATGTAAATTGTTGAGATGGAAGTTGGGTGAGCGAGGTTTGCGAAGGTGGTGCTGGCGGAGGTAGTGCTGGTTGAGGTGGTTGAGGTGGTGCTCGCTGAGGTAGAGCCTGCTGCCACGGTGCTTGCTGAATTGGTATTCGGTGTTGAGTACCGCGTTGATGGTCTTGTTGCCTTTGGAGCTCACCTAGTTTCTGCCTTGGTTCTTGAGCTTGGAGGGACGCACCTTGGACCTGTTGTAATCGTTCATTTTGCGCATGTTGCTGCTCCCTATCATACTCAATTTTATCTATAATTGCTTGAGCTCGGAGTATGGCCTTTTGTTTAGGATCGATGGCTGCATTGGCGAATGCCGATTTTGCCTGCCATCGAGCTTTGGCGCTGTCCAAAGCTTCAGTCGATTGACTTTGCTGCTGTGGTGCTTGAGCTTGTTGCTGTGCTTGAGCTTGTTGCTGTGCTTGAGCTTGTTGCTGTGCTTGAGCTTGTTGCTGTGCTTGAGCTTGGCTTGAGCTTGTTGCTCTGTGCTTGAGCTTGTTGCTGTGCTTGAGCTTGTTGCTGTGCTTGAGCTTGTTGCTGTGCTTGAGCTTGTTGCTGTGCTTGAGCTTGTTGCTGTGCTTGAGCTTGTTGCTGTGCTTGAGCTTGTTTTCCTGATCGAACCACCGCTTCTGCCCTACCAACGACCTTCTCCAGTTCGGCAATCATGGCGTCATCGCACAGCAAAGCCTCGTCTTCCGCAAAGTCATAGTTGTTTGATCTCGCTACTGATGCTGCTTTCGCCTGAGCTCTGTTCCCATGTGATCGTGCATGGCACGTCTGAGCCAGTGGTTGCTGCAAGCTTTGATCTCGTTGCTGCGGTGGGCACTGAACAGGTGGCGATAAACCCTGGCCTTGTGGCTGCTGTGATTCTCGCGTTTGTGACGGTGGAGTACAACCTCGTGGCTGTCGGGTAGATGTAGCACTGGTTCCTTGCTTGCGGCGTTGTTGTTCGTATAGATCAGCTGAAGTTGAACCTGAAGATTGCTCCCATCTTGTTCTTGGTCGTTTCTCTCTAGGTTCATACCCGAGTCTAGGAGCTTTATCTCGATATTCTCTAGGTCTTCCTAAGGCATTCGGAGATTCGTTCCGAGGTTCTCTGGGCCTCTCAGGCTCCATGCCTACTAAGTTTTCCGACAGGGGCTTGGTTTCCTACAGACAGCTGCTTTCAGTTACATGAATGATGATGCACTCCAGTAGCTGATAAATCTGTCGACTTGGTGCCTCGTTGTGATCTCAAGAAGCCTGCTGTAGCTGATAATCCTTACCTCGACCGGAATGTAATCGAAGTTAGTCTTATTACAACAATTTTGCTCGAAAATGCAAAGAGTTATGATCGTAGATGTCGGTCTGAGCTCGAAAGTGCAATGCTATAGACCAAAGGGCACAGTAGAGATGACTTGTAGTCAGCTGCCGTGACAGTCTTGTTAATTCTCAGAGATCAGTCCTCGACTCATGCAGTGGTGGCAGGGCGCTCTATGGAACATGATGTAGAAGGGAGGATCATCCACCCGATGTCCTTGAGATCACAGGGCTGTCGTGCTGATATAGAAACCCACCACTGAAACACTTTCCTCCCCTGTTGATAGCCAGGACCCATTGAACATGAAACAACTGTGCGTCACCTGGCACATCTCTGACCCTGCAGCGACGCTGGAGCTGCTGACCTATGCTTTACCATTTCAGACAGTGCCGAGCAATGACTCAAAGTCAATAAAGATAATCCGGGGATGAAATTCGGTAGCTTAAGCCGTTACAGACACAAAACAAAGAGTGTAGAAAGGGGCGCAGATTCCTCTGCAGCTCCAAGGGCGAACCACCCTTGCTGAACGGATCTGATCAGGAACCGAAGTAGTGCAACTTGCAAAAGTAAAGAGGCGGTTCCTGCACATCTTGATGAATCTGGAGACGAGCGCTGCTGTCCCCTAGGAGAGCTTGAGGCGGGAGGGCGCTGCTTAAGCCTTACACAACTGGCGGATTCAGGCTGATAAATCTGTGAACGGGTCTTAGGCGGGAAGTCATTTGGTTGGGCTGACAACATCTCGATGACTTTGGTGTGGGCAGGTAGGTAAGAGGCTTTCTACAAGTGTGGACAGAGGAGACTGAAGGCTGTATTTGAATTGGCTTGCGTTCAACGAGATCTTGGCGGGACAAGACTACAACATCCTGCGCCAAGCTCAACCCAACTCACCCCGGAGCCTGTTGCCGCTCTTGCCCAGCACCCACCCTGAGCGCAGGTGAGCACCAGTCAAGAGAGGGCGACTTAAGGGTTCATCCACCCGGGAGGAGAGTGGGGCTGTCTCACATTCTACTACTGGGCAGGCTTTTTTAATTGGCCCATCTGAGCCCAGGCCCGTCGACCACTGAAATTCTTCATCTTAGGGGCACAGTGATACAAAAGTGGAACGAAATTCCGCTCCATCTACGCTCTAAGACCCTGATCATGGCCCTTCGGCCCTTCGGCCCGTCGGATGCTAAGCCAAACACACGAGGGGGCCCCACCCGTTATAATTTTGAACCTCGATAAGTCAGCATTGGATTGCCAATACTGTTCTCTAAGTATTGTATTTCTTTTTGGCACCGTCATTCTCGGGAGCATTGTCGATCTCAGGAGTACCCTCACTGGAAGGGCTTGTAGCAATGCCACTAACAGCGGGACCAGCTGCTTCTACATTCGATTTACCAAAGGCGTCGGTGATTATATCATGTCTTGGCTGGGCGGTAGCATCCTCATCAAATGGGGCTTGACCAATGCCAAAGGTAGTATTGGTGAGTCTGACAGCGTCGTCTTCAGGTTCCGAAGCAATGGAATATAGAAGAGGGTAGACAGATCACTTTTCTGGTATTCAACCCTGATCGGCTGAGCCCACGTTGTCAAGGGTCCGGCGCCAATAAATGATGCCTTTTGTATCGGTGGCCAAAGTACCTTTGAGAAATTGCGGTTCCCACCTCGATTTCAAGAAGGAAGAATGGTCTTCCAACGATACTACAGACGGCATGGGCAGTCTTCGAGTGTGGGTACAAGGACAGACGTTCTACGGATTGACCGTCGAGATACAATATTGATGGGCTTTTCATTACGCTTTGACGGAAGACAACTAACCTTTAGACGATAGCATACAGAAAGGAGATAAGTTGCACTTTAACTCTGGGAATTCAGCCCATGGCAACACGACTGAAGCCCAAAATCAGCTTGTCCCCAACCGGAACAGCAACAAAATCCTCCATTTGCTCGATGCCTTCGTCATCAATCACCGTAGTTGTGTAATTCATGTAAATTGAGGCGAGGAGGAGTTTCAAGACTATAGATCTGGTTAGCCGAGGAATGTAGGTCTCGCAGGATTGAGATTCAAACTTACCGACCAAAACGAAGTGATTTCCAACACACATCCTCCCTCCACTTCCGAAGGCCCAGAACCATCTACGTGGATCGTGCTCCGCCTTGCCATTTTCCAGACCCCCGCCAGCCTCATCTACTGTGGTAAGTTGCTTATTCGGAGAGTCTGCCGTTCCGATCCACCTTTCCGGCTTCCAGAACTCCGCCTCTGGATATACGTCCTTGGACCGATGCATGCAGTAAGGCGCCGTGCTGATAGTTGCACCAGCTGGGACGAAGTATCCTTCAATAATCGTTCCACCTTTAGGTACCAAACGACGCAGAGGCCCGGGGGCTGCTGGGTGCAAGCGCAGTGTTTCTGTAATGACGGCGTCCAATAGCGGAAGGCCGTCGAGCTTCCGTAGGACAGATGTTGAGAGTGACTGATGTTGGAGAGGATACGTGAATGGCAGCTCCGCAGTCGTCAATTCTTTGCGCAAAGTAGATTGAAGCGCCCGTCGTTGCGAGAGTTCATGCATAGCGTATGTTAGTGTGATGCCGATTCCCACTCTAGCCGCCTCGGTATTGTCAAGCAATTCAGACGCAGCAAGGCGAATGGTCTCTTGTGGATTTGTTACGTGCTCTTTCTTGGGTATTGAATTCATTAGTTGAGCGTAAACGATAGGGTATGTTGAGGTTGATTCTGGGTCTTCGCTGCCAATTTGCCGTGCCTTTCTGTCCTTTTCGTCTTCCAGGCTCTTGCCATCTTGAGGAGCCGACGACTTGGAGTTCAGGTACCGCTCTGCTTCCCTACACTTCTGAAGAAGCTGCTCTTCCAGCGCCTTAGCTGCGCGTTCGCACCCTTTCAAGTACAGTACCTTTTTCTTGCTGTTCTCTAGGTATATCCTTCGTTCATCTTCCCTGCTTCTCCGCATTAGATCTAAGCCAAATGCACTACCAAGTCCATACGCGGTCATAAACTCCGCGCCGGCTGCACATCCCAAGCTGTACATATCAATGCCTTTACCAGCTCGTGCGGCATCATCTAACACTGGTAAGAGCCGCTCAAATAGCAAAATGTGCGACAGCTGCTGGAAGTCCGAAGAGCCAAGGAGGTAACTCTTGGAATAGCCATGGGAAACAATACGCCTCCTAGTAGCATGGTCCTTTGCATTCAGCATGGTAAGGAGATTGGGCGTGCCATCATAGTTGCGAAATTGTAGAAACCATTCGGTGCGCTCGAAACCGCCCATGTAGATTTTGCGAAGCCCGTCGAGGGACGCGACTGAGACTTCGTTTGGCGCGAGGCGCACGATTGGGCCATGCCGTTGGTGAGCGGCGAAGATGGTACGGGTTTCATATCCTTTCCGACGCTTCCACCAGATCCAAATGGGAAGAAATGATGCGATTGGATGGCCAGAGGGAATCTTGGACAGTGGAGAGATAGTGGCGGGATAAACGACGTAGTAGAAAATGAGGTAGATGAGGACAAGAGCCACAGCAAGTGGGAAATAGAAAGCCATTTTAGTGACGATAAAGAGCTTTTAGGAAGACGCTTCCTGCACTGCCCTTGTGATAAGAATTCTCGGGGAGCACTGCCTCGTAGAGCTGGAAAGGGTATAGGGCGAGCAAGGACTGTTGCCGATGTGTTAAAGTCGGATGGTCGCACGAAGATATTGCCAGCTTGCCTCGTTGTATGTACGGAGTGTATGGAGTATGCTGCAACACTTGCTCAGCAGGAGGGGCCAGGAGGGGGGGGCAGGAGGGGCAGGAGGGGCATGGCTTTTATCGATCGAGATGAATACGAAGAGCTCTAAGCTCTTTAGGAGTGTGGCGTACATCACGATACACGGTGAAGTGTCTGGGCCAGTCCTGCTGTTCTATATAGACCATACTACGTATTGTAATCGCGATGCGCCAGTTCAAGGGGTTCGGTTACACAAGCAGCTGGGCAGGCTCTAGGTGCCAAGGTGGTTAAAGTGGCTACCAAGTACGTTAGGAGGCATGTTAATTGTAACCCTCTCTACTAGTAAAATTGTTATTAACAACCTTCGTACAGATACCCTTACCGCGCTTGTACGAATGATGTACCACCCTTGGGGGTCATTACCGCGTTTGACGCGTTAAGCTTTCTCAACCAATCCTGTCTTATTCTACAACCACTCCATTCAATCAATGCCAGCAAGATGCCATGTAGTTATAGATGCCAATGGGATGCACGCTCAATGTAAATAGATGGTAGATTACTAGTCCATATCGAGCGATTTGGTGGGCGTTCTATCTTGGCGTTACAAGCTGTTACAAGCTGTTACTAGAGTGGGGGTTACATTTAATATGCCTCCTACCGTAGTAAAGGTGGCAAACAATTCAAGGACGAGCGCAAACTATTCCAAACAACGAACTACATCAAACTACATCAAACTACATAACGCATTCTGCACCGCGATGCATACGCGGGGGTGCATACTATTGTCCATTGCATCCAGTCACAAGTTGTGCCGCCAAGAGCTGCCCGAGGCATTCACACTGCATTGAAGTTGTCCGATTCTGCGCTACAGGCACCTTGAACCTCTTGTTGCCACAAAATGTCCAATCCCCCAGTGCTCCAATGATGACAGTGCCCAAAAGCGGACCTGCGTAGTTCATGTTGCTTCCTGTAACTGGCAGCATTGTTGGGAAGGGCATCCAAATCACAACCTACAACAAATACTAGGACGAGCTGAGTTGGACACAACCATCTTGCCGGCTCAGCCAAGAGCATGGTAGTTGCCCCCAATTCTTGATCTTCGTTGCAAAAGGTGCGAGGTAGCCGCACCCAGCCTCTTGATCAAGCCATGTTGACGTGCGTGGAACTTGAATAATTGCCCTTGTGTCTCAAAATCTGTACATTTTGGGTACAGCTCCTCATCCTTCTCTTCAGCCTGCGCGAGTAGCCGCTTGAAGTCCGGGAAAACAACGAGCTCGCTATCACGCCATACGAACTGCTGCTGCCATTGCACCTCGAGCGTAGCACCCTCCAAGACGGTTTGGAAGCAAAGCTCGCTCAGAACCTGCCGCAGAAGGGAAATACTCTCTCCGTCCGCCATGCCAAACGCATCGCGTGCGTCGCAGTAGTATGCAAGGTACCTCCCAAGCGCCGCCTCCTTGGGGCAGGACACCACCCCGCTATCGCAATGGAGCTCCTGTAAGCCGATCTTCAGCGCCTGGTAAAAGGCATGACTCACACCTTTCGTGTAATCCGGCTCCACCCTCGCCCTGGTTCGCTCATCTAGGATTCCAAGAAGCCCGTATAGCTTGTCTCTTGGATCTGAGCTTTCCAAGCTTCCGAAGTTGCTCACCGCCTCATGGAGAAGATCCGGCGTCTGCGATTGGAACGTTTCCGTTACTGTGTACGGATTCCGTAGATGCACCAGGCGGGATCTGTGCGTGACGATGGTCTCCGCGGGGCTGCGGAGGAGCGACAGCGCGCTCACGGCCTTTGCAGGCCGTCCGTTGTCGTCAACTCTTATTTCCGCCCGTGGCATGGTAGGCGTGGACATGCCGAATAGTGTAAGCGGAAACGTGAAGGCGCCGCACCAGACGCTCATATTTGAGGCGAGCAGCACCTCTTGGACAACCCAGACGCGGCTCCAGTACCGGCAGCAGCTGAGATATCGGAAGCCATCCCATTGCGCCGCTGTCCAGGCAGCCGGACGGTGGCTCCGGTGAACCAGGGCACGCACATTGTCGAGCGCGGGCGGTTCAAGAGGTCCCAGCCATCCAATGACTTGGTCTGCATTGCGGTAGATGCGTGCCATCTCCTGGACAGCTGACTGTCGCTCATTGTGATCATTTTGGTTGATGCAGATGGCATCGATGAATAATAACCCATGCTCCCCCTTCGCCGAGGCGATTTCTAGGAAGTCATAAAGATTGCGGCGGATGAAAATTTTTTGACCATCTACAAGAATCGCGTCTACTAAGTCCGCGCGACCCCAGGTATATGAGAGCGCTTTGTAGCTTACGCCACGGAGGTGCTCGAGAGGCACAATCTCCAGACTGTAGCTGAGCGGCCCATCTCTTTCGCGGGACACGGTCCTTAGTAGTCGGACATGCTGTCTGGCATCAAACTGATCAGTGGCAATATACTTGAATCCACTCTTGCGATTCAAGGCTTTATCCAGCTCGTCCATGACACAATCTCGCGGTAGTTCATGCATATTAGACAGCCCTGTGTAGAGGAGCGAAGATATTGCCACTTGTCGTGTTTTGCCCGTCGTCGGTGGCTTTGGAACCCAGGCGCTGAGGGTGCTGCGCTCGAGAGCGGTGGCCAGGCATCCATTCCGTTGAAACAGTTTGCGCAGCGATTCTTAGGTCGAGGGGTGAGGCGGTGCAACCTAGCGTACATACAATAATACGGTTAGACCTAAGATGAGCACCCATTGATGGTAATTTAGGCATAACTTTCAAAAAGCCTTCTCCTGCTAAGTTGTCCGCTTCTGTGCCACAGGCACCTTGAATCTGTTGTGGCTACTAAATGTCCATCCACCGGTGCTCCAACGATGACAGTGCCCAAAAGCGGACCTGCGTAGTTCATGTTGCTGGCAGCATTGTCGGGAAGGGCAAATCTGACCGCTTGGAGTCAAAAATTTCCACGGAAGAATTACTGATTTCAGATCCATTGCAGTGAGATAGATGGATTGAGGAAAAGGAGCCTTGGATCTCGTTGCCGAGTCTCCAGTGGAAGATTCCTCAAAATAAACGTCTTGAGGTCAGTCACCTCCCCAGCTGTTTGAAAGTCTACATGTGAATACATGTGGTCTGATCTTCTGACCATTCCCCTTGGGAGCCTTCCAAGGAGATGTTCGACTTACAACGGACAGAAATTGCACGGCAAGGCAGCTACTACTACTAACTACAGTACTAGGACAAAAGTATCGGACCAACCCCACTTTCAGACCCCACCAACATTTTGGACCATCTTCATACAATTTACCATAGTAAGTTACCAACTTGATGGATTCTGATGAAAAACGGCTCAGAATGTTCAGAAACATCCAGAGATTGAGGCTGGGCTATTTTCCTAAATAGGCAGTCGATATTCAGAATCTGGTGTACCATCCTTTAGCCGCAATGACCGCATTCACTCGACTATCCATACTCTTGATGAGATTGGCCACAGCTTCTTCTCCTATAGCATCCCAACCCTCATAAATTGCTCTGAACAGACGTTGATAATCCTCCTCCGATTTGCCCATATTAATTAGCTCTGGATGGTGATCATTGATCCATTGCTTGAGTTGCGCCCAGAGGTGTTCAATTAGGTTGAGATCAGGACTATAGGCTGGCCATTCCATCAATTCTATGCCCTCCTCTTGAAGCCAATTGATAATCTTCTTTGCAGTATGGATTC